GGAAATGAGAACTAAGGCTTTGGGTATGCTAGCTAGGCAACTCTCCTACCGAGCCACAGTGAATTTTTGAGTCATGTGTTCACTGAGCTGCCTAAACTGGCCTTAAATTTTAAGCCTCAGCCTCCAGAGTAGCTGGAGCCCCAGGCCTGCACTAGGAGGCCCTGCAATGCCATAGTTTAAACAACACCATCTACAACTCGATCCCCTTCTTGTTGAGAAGGGACAATCCTGACCTATGGAAGCTCTGAGGTCAGGACATACTGCCAGGGGAGGCATAACGTTAAGAAAGGAAGAGTAGGTGGTTGTGGCAGGGTGTGCCTTTAATCCCAGTACTCCAGTTCCTGGTGAGGAACGTTCTTTTAGAAAGAGTTTCAGGTAAACCGTGATTCCAGGACGATAAGACAGTGCTAGGACAATGTCCAGAGCGAGAAAACAAAGGAAGGCTGAGCAGAACCATGGGGACAGTTATTTCTATAGCTGCCCCAATACCTGCATGACAGACCCCTCTGGAGGAATGACACAGTCCACACACTGGGTCAGGTCCCCGATGAGCTCTGAGTTTCCCAGGAAGCTGTCAATGAGACAGTAGCTGGCCTGGCAGAAGAAAAGGGAGGTGTCTAGGACCCAAGTGGGCCCAGATCAGTCCAGAGAAAACTGGGGCTAGCTCCAGGGTTAAACAAGCTCTCCAAGAACCCATGGGCCCATGCTTTCCCAGTGCCTACTGGGAATTGTAGTTCCAGACAAACAGGCACGGTTTAGGGATCCTAACTGCACTCACGTCCCACAGCCTCACCCTCAATTCTTTCTTCAGTCTCTCTACATTCCGGATGTTGGTCAGCTCCTCAAGTCCCACAATGAGAACCTAGAAGAGTCACATAGGATAGTGCAATCCTTAACAGGATCTAGTCAGAGAGGACAGTACTTGGATGGGTGTCGAGAGGAAGGCCAAGTCTGGATCCCTGTATTTGAAGGAGGAGGGCTGGTTCCTGGATTCCTAGGTATGAGGAAGGAGGGGTGAGGTTTGGATGCCTGGGTGTGAGAAAAAAATGCAGAGGTCTGAGGAGAATGGGATGGGAGTGCAACTCTCTTGAGTTTTGGAGAGAAGAGGGCCCAGTCTCACCATGGCCCCAAACACCATGTGGAGCATTCTTTCCAGCCTCAGCTCAGAGGTGCCCTCCTCAGATGACATAGCGATGAGGGTGATGCTGTGGGGGTGAAAGATGAGAAGCAAGAATGAGGTCAGGCCCAGGAAACGGAGCCACCCGCTTCCCGGTCTCCCAGCTATTCCTATACTGTTGGCTACATCCTGACAGGGGAAATCAGGGATCAGAGAGGGTGAGGATTATAGAAGATTCCCACAGCCAAGTTATCACTGGCAGGACTCTGGGATCACCTAAGTCAGGAACCATTGCCCGGATCTTGTTCCCTTGCTCCTGCCAGGGGACCTGTCATGGAAGTTCTTCCACACCACGGTTGTGTCTTCCGTTCTTGCAGAGTTCAGTTGCACATCCAAATTTTGGCCAAACATGTGGACTCCGTTGAGAGAGCCGATGACAGAGAAAGGGAGCTGAGAAAGAGTGGGGAAGCATTGCAGTGGCTCTCAAGACCTCCCCACTGAGACCCTGCTGCCCCACTTGGCAGTCTCATATTCCTCCAAAGTTCTTCAGGAAACCAGGCTTATTAGTCCCCCATATCAGCTAATAGGCCCCGAACCTCTACTCCCTACATGATACGCAGTCCCAGCTTCCCAAACCTTACTGAGGAGTCTAATGCCCCCACCTGTTGACGGGAGGGGGCGCCGCCGCCGCTGCTGCGACAGAACAGGGGAACCCCGCTAGAGGCTGCGAGGCACAGCAGATGCACCGTGCTTCCTGGCCCCTCATCTCCCATCTGGAAGCCCGCGCACGATAAGTCACCTCCCTGGAGACTCTCGGTGTGGATCTGGGAGCATGCGAGTAGTCAGAGTAAGTCTGTGCTGTCTGGAGCCGCCAGTGGGCGAGAAGCGGGATGAGTAAATCCTGCCTTCATCAACTCAGCCCGGCCAACAGGATTCTTTTCCGCCCCGGCCGGAAGTTATCATGACCGTAACAAAGATGGCGGCACGTACTGCTTGCCAAACGTTAAAGTTGTTGCCGGACAGCTTCACATCTTTTGTATAAGGAGAATGAAGAATCAAGCTTGAAGATGGTGATGTTGCCAAGGTGTTTTCTACCAACCTTCTTGTGTGCTGTAATAATTTACGTACTATTTTTTTTTTAACAACTGGTTGAAGACGGGGACAGTGCTAAGACACTGCCTGGCAACGTCAGCGTGGCTTTTTCATTCCATAGTGGTAAATACCTTGCCCTGGTCAAAGATGGCGGTGTGCTCAGGCATTGCCTAGCAACCACCATACACAATGATTTCTGTTTCAAAACTGCCACGGTCTCCCTATCATTTTTTCAGAGTGGTTCGATCCAGGCAGTGTTGCCTAGTAACTACCAAATGAGCTGATTGTTTTTGTTATTAGTGAAAGGCAGAAGAAAAGAGACCCTTTCTTTTCCAAAATTATGAAAACCACATAATTTCTGTACCGAATTCATGCCTATGATGGTGTATCGTGTGGAAAGTTAAGGCACGGAAAACCTCATTCCATGCAACAATACAAGTTAGCACCGCAGTACCAGGACAGATTTTCACAAGTATGATCCGGTACTATCACTTCCAAAGCTTTCTTCCTCCAGAGGATGGCTGGGAGCCAGAGAGGTGGCTCGGCACATCACAGAGCTTGCCACGAAGGCCTGAGAACCTTGCCTGTAATCCCTGGAATCTTCATGGTAGAAGTAGAGAACCCACTCCGTACACGGGCCTTCATGCACGTGCATGGCACACTCGCTAGAATAATCAAATTTTATTTTCTAATTAAAATAGTATGTCTACAGCTTTATGTCTTTATTTTCTATTTTCTGGGAGAGTTGCGATCTATAGGCCAGGTTGGCATAGAACTCATAACAGTTGTTTGGCCTGGAATGCCAAACGCCAGCTGTTTTCATTCTTTGTCTTCCTTTCTCTTTTTTGTTTTTTCTCTGTTTAGTGTATTTTCAAGGTGTGGTTTCATGTAGCCCATTGCAGTCCTGGGACTTGGTATGTGGCCTTGAACTTCTGATTCCTTTTCCAGCGTCTCAACCTTTCTTTTTTTTTGGTTTTTCAAGACAGGGTTTCTCCGTGTAGCCCTGGCTGTCCTGGAACTCACTCTGTAGACCAGGCTGGCCTCGAACTCAGAAATCCACCTGCCTCTGCCTCCCAAGTGCTGGGATTAAAGGCGTGCGCCACCACTGCCCGGCTCATCTCAACCTTTCTAATGTCTTTTCATAATCAATTTCTACTAGTGCAAGGAATTGAACAATTTTCCATTGACAAATATTAGATTTCTCCTGGTGAATTTCAAATGATACAGTAAAACAAAAGAATTTTTTTTGAGACAAAAATCTTGCTGTGTGCCGGGCAGTGGTGGCACACGCCTAAATTTAATCCCAGCACTTGGGAGGCAGAGGCAGGCGGATTTCTGAGTTCGAGGCCAGCCTGGTCTACAGAGTGAGTTCCAGGACAGCCAGGGCTACACGGAGAAACCCTGTCTAGAAAAAACAAACAAACAAACAAACAACCTAAAAAAAAAAGCTTGTTTATGCCAAGTGGTTGGGTGGCCTGTGCCATTAATCCCAGCACTCCAGAGGTAGATGCAGGTAGATCTCTCAGTTCCGGGAGGCTCCACTAATTTACAGAGCAAGACAGCCAGGGCTAACACAGAGAAAGCCTGCTTTGGGAGTGGGGGGTGGGGAAGAGACACACCAAAAATCAAGGTATGGGACAATGTCTCAGTTACTAACGTGCTTGCAGTGCAAGTATGTAGGCTGAGTTCGGATCCCCACCACCTACGTTTTGAAAAAATGCTTGTGTCTTTTTTTTTTTCTTATTTTGTTTTTCGAGACAAGGTTTCTCTGTGCAGCCCTGTCTGTCCTGGAACTCTCTCTTCGAATGGGACCGTAACTCAGATCCGCTTGCAACTGCTGTGAACTGGAATTTAAGGCGTGTACCATCACGGCTTTGTATCTTTCTACATTAGTAAGGTTTATTTAGTAAATTTCTGTCCACACACATCTCCAGATCATTTTATATTCATTTTGGTTTATACCATTAGCTGCAATGCTGAGACTCAGTTTCCTAGACTATACCACATATTCCTATTACATTTTTAAATATATTTATTGTTATTTTGTTATTGCTTTTCTTTCCTTCTCTTCCTTCCTCTTTCTTTCTCTCTTTCTTTCTTTCTCTCTTTCTTTCTTTCTTTCTTTCTTTCTTTCTTTCTTTTTTTCTTTCTTTCTTTCTTTCTAAAAGGAATGTATTTTCTTTGGATTTCTGGCTTCTTTCCCAGAAAACAGAGATTAGATGTTGCCTAGCAACCTCCACTTAAATTGGAATTCCCTTCTTTCCCAGCGAAAACAACTACCTTGCTACCAAGTCATGGGCAACTTTACAGTGTTGCCTAGCAACGTCATTTCCGATGAGATGATTGGACCACTTTCTCTCTCATCGATTCCCGGTCAGAAAGAGCAGAATTTATTAACTTAATCTCTGTGTGAGACCACAACGGCTGGGTACGCGTTGCCTAGCAACCGGGTTCCCGAACCTCCCTTTAGCCCGGAGTCGGAAACTAGATTTCGACTCCAAGATGGTGGCCGGATATGCCGTTTTTCGATTTATTTCGTGCTTGATGTTGTGCACAAAAGTTTGCTCGATCTGAAGAGGCCCTTAAAGGAGCTCGTTGTGCCTATTCTGAGAGTTTCCTGTTGTTGGCATGCGCCAGGGTAGAGATAAGACCACCGCTCCCAGGATGCCCCGCACAAACATGGCCGTATCAGCATCAGCTGAAGCTGCCAGACGTCCGGCGGGGGTGCGCGCACCGCGCAAGCGCACTTCTGTTCGTCCCGGGAAGGCGGCGGCGGCGGCGGCAGCGCTGGCGGCGGCGGCGCGGGGCATGGTCCCCGGATCCGAAGGCCCGGCTCGGGCCGGGGGCCTGGTCGCCGATGTGGTGTTTGTGATCGAGGGGACAGCAAACCTGGGGCCGTACTTCGAGGAGCTCCGCAAGCACTACCTGCTGCCCGCCATAGAGTGAGTGAGACCCCACGTCGCCTCCCGCTGCCCTAACCTGAGGCTTGTGCCGACCCCGCCTTTCCTCCGTCTTTGCAGGTACTTCAACGGGGGACCACCTGCAGAGACGGACTTCGGAGGAGACGTGAGTGTGCGGCCGAGTCACGGGGAGGAAGCTGGTAGACCCCTATGTCTGAGGGAGGAAAGATGGGGTCCTTAGTCTTGGGTTTGAGGGAAGAGGGACTCACAGTTTATTTCTGAAATGATCTGAGGTTGGGAGAGTCTGTTCCTTGCCAAAGATCTCAGTTTTAAAGTTCTTTTGTCCTGTCTTCCCAGTATGGTGGAACCCAGTACAGCCTTGTGGTGTTCAACACAGTGGACTGCGCTCCCGAGTCCTATGTACAGTGTCATGCTCCTACCAGCAGTGCCTACGAGTTTGTCACCTGGCTCGATGGCATCAAGTGAGCTTTGCTTCCATCTGTGGCAGGATGGGGGGACCCCAGGAAAGACTGTGGGCATGGTGGTCTGTGCTCAGTGGAACTCCTTGGGTCCCCACAGTCTGTGCCCGAGTATGCCATACCACCGGCTTCCTCATCTTTCTAACTCTCTCCTTGTCTGCCTACTTACTCCAGAGGAGTCTGCAGGATGGGTCTGAGCCTTGAAGGTTCCTTATGTGGGTTGGGTCATAGTTTATAGTGTAGCTGAGGCTAGCCTTGAATTTCTGATCCAACTGCTTTTACTTTCTGGTTGCTGAGATTACAGATGCCTGCCACCATTGCCAGCTTGTGGAGCCAGACAGCCTGGAGTAGAGTCATGGCTCCTTCCCAGACAACTCTCCGACTGCTGGGTCCCAGGATCCTTTGCGTTGTCCATTCCTTTCTGAAAGGGAGAAATCTGTAGCACTTGTATTTGTTCTTTGTGCTCTTGGATGTCTGTTGCTGTAACCCACCTTCCCCCCCCACACCACTTTAAGGATTTCAGACTGAACAGTTGTTCCTTGTGAAGCCATCTCTATGTCAGGAACTCGGGAGGATAAGTGGGGCCATGTGTGTTTGGTCTGGTCTCACAGGGCTGTGGTCATCCACTCCCTGGCATGCCTGAAAGAGCCACAGCCATGATGGCTTGCTCTGTGGCTGAGGTCAGAGCCTTAGTTCCTTGCTATCTGCCATCATGCCCTGGCACATGGCAGATTGATGCCCAGACTGGCAGCTGGCTCTGCCCAGAGGGAATGAGTGAACCCTGAGGCCAAAGAGGAAGCCACCAGGCTTTTTGATAACCAAGTGACACCCCATCACTTTTGTCACCACTCGTTTGGTAGGTGAGTCTGTCCTGTTCCAGACAAGAATGGGTGACCAGTGGAATCCCTGGGGACAGACCACCAGAGCCTTGTAGGGTGCTGGTGGCTGGCACACAGTAAGCAGAGTGCCAGTGCCTGCTGTTACTGCTTGTTCTAATCCTGTTCTTGGTTTGCAAATGAGTAACAGTGTAGACTGGTGGGCGCCAGAAGGGTCGCTGATGCTAATCTCTCCATGTGGATTCTACTGGCTGGTTGTGGTCAAGGTTCATTTATCGGTGACGATCTAGTTCCTGCTGGTTCTTCCTGCTTTGATGAAGCAGGTGTGTGTTGAATGTCTGCTTGTCTGCTGTGTTCCAGGTGTGTGTCTGTGTGTGTGACACATGGTAGGTGGCATGGAAAGCACCGCCCCTCTTCCCCAGAAGTTGTTAGGATTAGGGTTAATGTAAAGCATGCTTTCCCATTCTTGACATTGTTGATACTTTGCACTCAAGTTTTTAAAACAGATTTTTTTTTTTAAATTTAATGTGTATGAGGTTTTGTCTGTATGCATGTGTGTACAACACTTGTGCCTGGTGCCCTTGGAGACCAAAAGAGACTATCAGATCTTCTGGAACTGGAGTTAAACAGTGTCAGCTACAATGCAGATGCTGGGACCCCAACCTCGGTCTTCTGGAAGAGCAGCCAATGCTCTGAACACTGGTCCATTTCTAGACTCCCAATCCAGTTTAAAAACCTGACAGCCTGGTCTACAGAGCTAGTTCCAGGACAGCCAGGGCTACACAGAGAAACCCTCTCTCAAACAAACAAACAAACAAACAGGGGCTACACAGAGAAACCCTCTCTCAAACAAACAAACAAACAAAACAAAACAAAACAAAAACAAAACCACCTGACAGTGTCTTGTCAGATTTTCCAGGCTAGCCACACAGTCCTTTCCATCCTCCTGCCTCGGCCTTATCAGTGTTAGGTTTTCTTGTCTAAGCTGCTATACCTAGTTTGGATTATACATTTTTTTTTCTAAGATTTATTTCTTTTATGTATATGAGTACATTGCAGTTGTCAGACACACCAGAAGAGGGCATCGGATCCCATTACAGATGGTTGTGAGCCACCATGTGGTTGCTGGGAATTGAACTCAGGACCTCTGGAAGAGGTCTTAAGTTAAGTGATCTTAACTGCTGAGCCGTCTCTCCAGCCCAGATTATACCAGGCTTTTATTTTTTAAAGATTTTTGTTTTTATGTGCATTGGTTTTTTTGTCTTAGGGTTTTTTGGTTTTTTTTTTTGTTTTTTTGTTTTTGCTTGTTTGTTTTTGTTTTTGTTTTTTGAGACAGGGTTTCTCTGTATAGCCCTGGCTGTCCTGGAACTCACTCTGTAGACCAGGCTGACCTTGAACTCAGAAATCCGCCTGCGTCTGCCTCCCAAGTGCTGGAATTAAAGGCGTGCACCACCACTGTATATATATATATATACATTTTTTTTTTTTTTAGTTTTTATTGATTCTTTGTGACTTTAATACCACTCATCTCTCTGTCCCCTCATATCCACCTTCAACATTTGCAACCTCCCTTCCAAAATAAAAAAACAGTGTCTTGATGTTTTTGTTTGCATGTATGTCTGTGTGAGGGTGCCAGACGCTGTAACTGGAGTTACAGACAGTTCTCAGCTGCCAGCTGCTCTCTTAACCTCTGAGCCATCTTGTTGGAAGGCCTGTCCTGGGTGTTGAGCCACATCCTGACCCTTGGAGAATGTCTAACAGCCTTTACCTGCTGGCTGCCAATGGCACCCCTAGAAAGTTTTCTTCAGGCATTGCAGGCGGCTTCTAGAAGGCCAGTGGCAGTTTCGTTGAGAATTACTGAGCTAGACAGAGGATCCCCCGTTTGGAGTTCTGTGAAGCCCCAAGGTCCTCATTGCTGTACGTCAGGGTTGGTGCATATGAGGCTTACACCACATTTGGTCAGATGCAAGCTGGGAGCCAGTGCCAGCCAGCTCCGTTCTTGTTGGCTGGTAAATCTTCTGGGCATGTTTCCTTGTGCGGAACCTTCTGTGACTTTTCTTATCAGCCAGTTGTCCTCTGCTTCTGTGACCTAAGGCTTCCGGCGATCTTAGCTGTGTGAGCCATGAGTGATAGCTATGGGGGAAAGCTTCAGCCAGTGGCTCCCACTTCTGCACCTAGAACCCTGGTAAACACAAGTGCCCCCATTTTGGAGGCCTCTGCTGCTGCTGCTCGGCACGTCAGCATCATTTGTCTCTGCCAGGATGGCTGTGCTGATCAGGGCCTGTGACCCATGTTCAGGATGTTCTGGGCAGGGCAGGAATGGGAGTGACAGTGGCCAGCCAGGCTTGGCCCTGCTTGAGAAATCTCACCTGCTGTTGATGAGACTGGGCGGGGTGTGCAAGACAGTTAAGACTGCTGAGAAGCCTGCTGCTCCTGTTACATCTCCTTCCTGCCAGGAGCCAATCTTCACAGCTAGTGGTCTTGAGTCAGAAAGAACAGGGTGTCTGTCCTACGGTTCCTCAGCTGACAGTTCATTTACTCACTCAAGAAGGTGTGTGGCACAGATGCTGAGTGGTCATGAGGTTCAGGCACTGTTCTGGCCCCTGTGGAGCTGCTGGTCACATTCACCAGGACAGGGCCTCTGGGGCAGGGTGTGATGGCGGGCAAAGGCAGGTGAATCACCTGGGTGCTCTTTAAATGTGTGCGTGGGAGTGCGCATGTGTGTGTGTGTGTACCACTTCCCGTCCTATAGGAGTTGGCTCTGATTTAATGCTGTGGGTTCTAGGGTTTAGACTCGGGTTATCAGGCCTGGCAGCCCTGATTTCATCTTGCTGTGCTGGGAAGCTCAGTGTGTTACCACTCATTTGCTTTGTGCGTGCATTGAGTGGCTAAGCAGCCACTTTGCATTGAGCTGCAGGCTGGAGAACCAATCAAGCTGGCTCCAAACCCCTTTGCCTCTCCAGTACAGGCTGTGCCCCCACCTAGGTTTTTTTGTTTTGTTTTTAAATTTAAGTTTATGGTTGTTTTGCTTGTGTGTGCCCATGTACTACACATGTACCTGGCCTCAGAGTCACTGTTATCTCTGCCTTCTACATCAGATTCTCTGGATCTGGAGTTAACGATGGCTGTGAACTGCTGTGTGGTAATGGAACCTGGGATCTCTAGAAGAGTAGCAGGTGCTCTTAACTGCTGAGCCATGTTTAGACCCAGCAGCCAAGGTTTGAGTTGGTGGTGTCAAGCAGGTGGACTTCCTGGAGGAGGGCATGCTGGGCACATGTCAGGATGGGTCAGTTGTATTTTGACCTAGTCCAAAGTGTAGTAGCTTTGGGGGAGTCTGGGCAGAGATAGGTACATCAGCTCCTCAGCAAGCCTGACAGGCAGAGGACAGGAGCAGGAGGGTAGGCCCAGCTAAAGGCTTTGCTGGCTGGACAGCCATTTTATTCATTTACCAATTTTTTTCTACCATACACCTCTTATGGGCCAGACAGGTGGGACACCTGTCTGGCCCATCCTGGGGACAAGAAATGAGAGGGCCCAGCCCCTGTCCCTGCCTGTGTGGGAAATGGGGGCAGACATGAGATGGTCACAGTTTAGCGGTGGCAACTACACACGACAGCCCAGAGGTTGTGGTAGCATCACTTGTGCTAGAACAGAAGCCTTTCCCAGGACGCCATGCAGAGGGCATCTCGTGGGTTCCTAGGCTGCCATGGACAAGTACTAGCAACCAAAGTTGAACCAATATGACAGCTGCAAGTCCAAGGTCACAGTGCTGGCCAAGTGGGAGGGGCCTGAAACTCTGGGGAAAGGCTCCTCCCTGACCTCTCCAGCTGCAAGTGGCCTGGAGCCCTGTGGCTTGACCTTCCTGTGGCCTGTCCACATCTGCTTGCCACCTTCCCCTTTTTCATAGACATGGGGTGTCTGTGGGTTGGGGTCAATAGTTCCCTTCTGTCTCTTCATGACTTGTGTAGAGAGCCTGTTTCTAGGAAGGTGACTCCCGTGCTTCCACCTGACATGTTGATCTGAAGTACAGTTCACCCATGGCACTATGGAGGAAGCAGGAGTCTCATGATAGTGCTTCTCCTAGCACTAGGAGATTGAGGCAGGAGGATTGCCAGCCTGTGTCTAAAAGAGGCTGGAGAGATGGCTCAATAGTTAACACTCACTGGCTGCTTTTCCAGAGGACCCAGGTTTGGGTTTGTTTGTTTGTTTGTTTGTATGTTTGTTTGTTTTTGGAGACAGGGTTTCTCTATATAGCCGTGGCTGCCCTGGAACTTACTCTGTAGACCAGGCTGGCCTCATACTCAGAAATCCCCCTGCCTCTGCCTCCCAGGTGCTGGGATTAAAGGACCCAGGTTTGATTTCAGGCACTCACATGGAGGCTCACAACCACTTGTCACTCCAGTTTCTGGGAATCTGATTCCCTTTCCTGGCCTTTAAGGGTACCAGGCACATGTGTGGTGTACGCATACACATTCAGACAAAACACCATGCGCATAAAATACAAAGAAAATCTAGTGACACACACTGTAATCCCAGCACTTGAGAAGCAAAAGCAGGCAGAGGTCTGTGAATTCAAGGTCAGCCAGGTTTACACAGTGAGTCATAAGGCAGCCCAGGTTATATAGTAAATGATACCTTGACAAAACAAAAGAAAAAGAGAAAAAAATAAAGCAAACCAATGAGGCAGATGGCCCATTCAGGAGGAGCTATCAGTATGGTCAGGGCATTGGGCCACCCGGACTAGGAGGCACAGGGGCCATGCTCAGGGCCCTGGCCCCTGCTCCCTCTTGATGTCCTCCCTTCTTAGCGTCTCTCCCTGCCTGGTACTCGCTTGTCACCAAGTAAAACTCTAGGGACAGTGTCCTGTCAGAGGATCCAGTGCAGTGTAAGAGGGGTCAGGAAGAGTGCTGGCTGGCTGCCTGTGGGGTCTGCTCTGGGTCTAACTGACTGTCCCCCCACAGGTTCACAGGCGGGGGTGGTGAGAGCTGCAGTCTCATTGCTGAAGGGCTCAGCACTGCCCTGCAGCTCTTTGATGACTTCAAGAAGATGCGTGAACAGATGTGAGTGTGCCTGCCTCCTGGAAAGTCCTCCTCAATCCTCACCCTGGATGGGGGACAGGAAACAGGTCCCTGTGTAGGCCAGGGCAGGCCAGTGCCTGACCAGACACTAGGTGGGATCCTCCCTCCTATGCCCCTTGCCCAGTAGCTAAAGTTGTCACTAAATCTGAGAGCCTCAGTGTTGTCGGCTGTAAATGATCTCAGAGGGTGAGGACATGACACTCAGTTGCCACTCCCTTGGAGTACCTGCTATACCATGACTTTGTCCCTGGCAGTGGCCAGACCCACCGAGTCTGTCTCCTCATCTGCAACTCGCCCCCATACCTACTGCCTGCTGTGGAGAGCACCACGTACTCAGGCTGTACAACGGAGAGCCTGGTGCAGAAGATAGGAGAGGTGAGGTAGACTGTTGAGTAGGCCTGCGCCCCTGCGTGTGAGGGAGGGGATGGGCCCACACCTGGATCCTAGGAAGCTGGCTGGGGTCTGAAAACCCAAGGCAGAAAATAGCCAAAATCTCTGTGTTTACTCATGACTGTCCATACTCAGAATTCTGGGTAAATTAAGGCCGGGTTTTGATGTCCCACCAGCAGCAGGGAGGAGACTCGCTCCAGCACACTCATGGAGGCCCACTATTGCTTTTTCCTTCTGCAGCGAGGTATCCACTTCTCCATCGTTTCCCCAAGGAAGCTGCCAGCCCTTCGGCTTCTCTTTGAGAAGGCGGCTCCTCCTGCTCTACTGGAGCCTTTGCAGCCACCAGCAGTTGTCAGTCAGGACCCTAGGCACATGGTGCTTGTGCGTGGGCTAGTGCTGCCTGGTGAGGCCTGGGTACCATTCACGGAAGGGGGACTTCTCTTTTGGTACTCTCTTAACATGGATTTTTGGATATTCCTTTTTCTACCCCCAACTTCTTCTCTTGGGCCTCGGTTGTCTCTCCTGTGCTCAGTTGGTGGCAGCTCGGCCCCAGGCCCTCTGCAGCCCAAGCAAGCAGTCCCCCTGCCTCCAGCTCCAGCTTCAGCTGCCCCACTCTCAGCAGCCCCCCCGCAGGCTCTGCCCCCTGTTCCTCCACAGTACCAGGTATGGATGGAGTTAGGGGCCAGCTCCTGGGGCCTTGTGGAGCCATGGCTTCATGGGAGGACCTCATGAAACATCGGGGCCAGGGAATGGCCTCTGGGAATGGAGTCAAAGCTCCTGGGTTGTCAGAACCACATAGTTTGCTTCATGCGGGCAGAAGTACATAGTTCTAGGGGTACAAGGTCTTCTCTCCGGTGACAGGTCCCTGGGAACCTCAGTGCTGCTCAGGTGGCTGCGCAGAATGCTGTGGAGGCTGCCAAGAGCCAGAAGGCCGGGCTGGGCCCGCGCTGTGAGTCCTGGAGCTGGCGAAGGGGGCGGGGCTTCACTGGCTTTCTGACCCTGCTCCACTCACATGTGTCTCTCCCGCAGTCTCACCCGTCAACCCTCTCCAGCAAGCCGCTTCAGGAGTGGGGCCCCCCTTCAGCCAGGCCCCAGCCCCCCCATTAGCTCCTGGGCCCCCTGGAGCTCCCAAGCCACCTCCTGCCTCACAGCCTAGCCTGGTCTCCACTGTGGCCCCTGCACAGCCTGGGGCCTCGTCTATGGTAGGTGCCCCCGTCCTCATACCCAGCCTCATGGCACTGCTCACAGTGTGCTCACAGCAGGTGAAAGGAGGCATGCAGTCACCTGCAAGGGGCCTGAGCACCACAGGAAGGCTCCTAGCTGTGATGTGCAGCTCTGGGGCAGGGCTTTTCTGAGGAACCCAGGTATCCCGTAATTTTGGGAGTCTGGTTCCTCATGCTTGGCATTGATCGTCCCAGACATGGTTAGTGGTCGTGGAGGTGTGAAGGATGGGACCTTTGTCCCGCCCCTTTAAGGTGTCCACTTCCTGACCGATCGTGGTCTCCTCATTGTTGTCTCTCCTCAGCAGGCAGGCACTGTGGCCCCAGGTGGGGTCAGTGGTCCTTCACCAGCCCAGCTTGGAGGTCCTGCACTTGGTGGGCAACAGTCCGTATCCAACAAGCTCCTAGCCTGGAGCGGCGTCCTCGAGTGGCAGGAGGTGAGGGGTTGAGAGCTTGCTGGGAGGGGGGGCAGGAGGTGAGTGTTTGAGAGCTTTCTGGGTGTGGGGGGGGTGGGGCTCCCAGAGCACTTAGGATGTGCAGCCGGGGCTCCCAGAGCACTTAGGATGTGCAGCCGGTTGGTCCAGAGGAAGTCTGGGGTGTGTGACCCAGGTCTCAAGTTGGAGTTTAACAATTGTGTTGACCCTGTCTCGAAAAAAAAAACAAAAACAAAAACAAAAGAATTGTGTTGAAAGCCGGGCAGTGGTGGCGCACGCCTTTAATCCCAGCACTTGGGAGGCAGAGGCAGGCGGATTTCTCTGAGTTCAAGGCCAGCCTGGTTCCAGGACAGCCAGGGCTATACAGAGAAACCCTGTCTCGAAAAAAACAAAAAAAAAATTGTGTTGAAGCCAGGCATGGTAGCATGTGCCTTCAATCCCAGTACTGGAGAGACGGAGGCAGGTGGATTTGAGTTCAAGGCCAGCCTAGTCTAGACAGTGAGTTCTAGGACAGCCAGGGTTACACAGAGAGACCCTGTTTCTTTTTTTTCTTTTCTTTTTTTTTTTTTTTTTTTTTTTTTGGTTTTTCCAGACAGGGTTTCTCTGTGTAGCCCTGGCTGTCCTGGAACTCACTCTGTAGATCAGGCTGGCCTCGAACTCAGAAATCCGCCTGCCTCTGCCTCCCAAGTGCTGGGATTAAAAGCGTGCGCCACCACCACCTGGCAAGACCCTGTTTCAAAAAAAAACAAAAAATTATATTGGTTAAGCAGTTGCCTACTGGGCACAGGCCTCCATCCCCAGTCAATCAACCAGTGTCTCTCTGTCTCTCTCTCTCTGACACACACACACACACACACACGTAGCCAAAACCAGAATTTGGGCTCTTAACAGGTTTCTGAATATTGGACCCTGGAGGATAGTGACTATAAGATTTGGGGCTCAGACGAGGGACCCAAAGTTTGTGGGATTAGGGCACCTGAGTGTGGGGTTGTTGGGAAGATGGGAGAGTCGTGGGGCTGTAGGAGGTAGTGAGGGTTGAGTCACCAGGACTTGGCTGACACACCCTTTTTGTTTCAGAAACCCAAGCCTGCGTCCGTGGATGCCAACACCAAGCTGACGAGGTCTCTGCCTTGCCAGGTCTACGTGAACCATGGAGAAAACCTGTAGGTATTTGTTAGGGTGGGCCAGGCTCAGCCTGACCGCCCTGACTCTCCTCTCCCTGTGTTGGCTTCCAGGAAGACCGAGCAGTGGCCGCAGAAACTGATCATGCAGCTCATCCCTCAGCAGCTGCTGGTGCGTCCTGCCGGGCCAAGGCCGGCCTGATTCTCAGATGTGCTCCCCACGTGATGCTTCCCTTCCGTGTTGCCCCATGTAATGCCCGTATGTTTGCAGACCACCCTGGGCCCGCTGTTCCGGAACTCGAGAATGGTTCAGTTTCACTTCACCAACAAGGACCTGGAGTCCCTCAAAGGCCTCTACCGTATCATGGGCAATGGCTTTGTGAGTGGTGGGCACTAGTTCCTCTTCCCTTTTCTGCCAACTTGATGAGGACCCCGGGTTCCTAGGCCCCAGGGGCTGCTGATACTCCTGTGCCTTATTTGTGATGCTGCAGATGGCACCGAGTCCTTGTTTAAAACTACAGGTATCCTAGGGCCTGCTGAGTCCCTGTTCCGTGGTGCTGGCTTGTTGTTGTTGATGATGATTTCAGGCAAGTCTTGCTGTGGAATAATACCTCCCCGTGGATGTCCTGCTGCCTCAGGCTCCTGAGGCCACATTTGTAGAATTGTGCGGTCAAGCCTGGCTTCTCTGCCCCTCTTGTTCTCTGTTGGATAGGGCCTGCCCTCCTGACTCATCCGACCTGTCGTAGAGGTATCTTCCTGAATCATCTCACCTTCCTGGGTGCCAGTTGGGTGAAATTTGTGTCTGGGGAAGACGCAAGTGCCTGTGCACATGGGGTTAGCACAGTGGCTTCTGTGCCTGCCTTTTCCCAGGCAGGAGATTCTGTTGGTCGTCGGATCAGCCTCATGGCCCTTTTCCCCTTAGTGAGCATTGTTGTCTGATGTCTTCTCTCTCAGGCGTGTGGGTCAAACACTTGGGAATTCTGCTTGGGCTGTCAGAAAGAAGCTGAGCTGGGCACAGAGCCCTCAGTTCTGTGGCCCATCAGTGCCGACGCTGAGTTCTGAGTTAATGCTCCAATAGTGTAGCAGAGCTTATGTTTTGCTGTAGAACAGGACGAAGCAGGGACCTCAGAGACATCATGCCTAGACCCCTTGTAGGTACAAGATAGTTACCTCAGCTTCTGGGTACCCTTTAAGCATGTGGAAGAGGCAATGGCTGGGATCTCCTTCTTTAGAAAATGAGAAATGTCCACAACTTGGGGCCAGGTCTCCTTTAATCTGGGCCAGAGTTGGGTCACTAGGCTGCATCCCTTGTAGGGGAGGGCATTCACCAGCACGCTGGCTCTGGTGGCACTGCCCTATTCTGTACTGGACAGTGAGCAGGAGAGGGTGTGTGTTGATGAGTAGCAGCTGCAGGCTGAGGGAACCCCGGTCCTGAGAAGTAAACCCAGGTAGTCAAAGCCAGTTCCCTGAGTATCTGAGGGGCACTCTAACTCTCAAAATGGGTATCTTACGATGTTGCTGTTCCCTGGTTCATTTTGGCGCACACTGTAGCAGAGAGATATAGCCACCCTTAGGGGTCTAACTACATCTTTCTGGCATCCCCACAGCAGAGCCCTTTCCAGTGTGATCTGGGGAGGTGATCCCGTGCTGTGCATTAGTGAGACAAGGAGGTGGAGGTGCTCAGTCAGGGTCACCATGGGCTTCTGATATGGCCACTGTCTTTCCCTCTCCTCAGTGGTCAGCAGGTGCTTTGATCTTGCTATGCCCTTTGAATGCCCAGTTCATTGCCTGTCGCTCTCAGTTTTTGTTTCTGGGGTAGATGCCAAGCAGACCTGCCTTCCTTGGCATTGTGCAGTGAGACCTCCTTCCCTCTTGCCCACAGGGCTTGTAGAGTGTTATAGAATGAAGAGGGATATCCTGGGGCCTCCTGGTAGGCAGGTTCTGAAGAGTCTCTGTCCACAGGCAGGCTGCGTGCACTTCCCACATACAGCCCCATGCGAGGTGCGCGTGCTCATGCTCCTGTACTCCTCTAAGAAGAAGATCTTCATGGGCCTCATCCCCTACGACCAGAGCGGCTTTGTTAACGGCATCCGCCAGGTCATCACCAACCACAAGCAGGTCCAGCAGCAGAAGCTGGAGCAGCAGCGCGGGGTGAGTGTGGGGCCCGGCCAGCTTGTCACCATGGCCTGCTGTCTCCAGGCATCTCACCTGAGTCCATGTCCCCTGTGTCCTAGCAGAGCAGCTCTAGTCCCTTTCAGTGTCCACCTCAAATCCCTGACCCAGGGCCCACCTTACAGCCAGGCAGGGTGTGATGTGCCTCCTAGATGGTGTGCCCTCAGAAAAAGGCACCCTGCATCTGCACACCAGGTCTTCCCGACAGGATCAGTCACCTTCTTTCATCTGACCTGTCCTCTCTGTCCCTGTGCAGATGGGGGCACAGCAGGCACCTCCAGGCCTGGGCCCCATTCTGGAGGAGCAAGCGAGGCCCCCGCAGAATCTAGTGAGGACTGGGGTGGGGACTGATGGGGTTGGGGATGGAGGTGGGTGGACTTGGGGCAGCCACCCTACTGTCCTTCCTCATGCTTCTGTTCCCCAGCTACAGCTCCGTGCACCTCAGCCTCAGGGTGCTGTGGGAGCTTCTGCGGCTACAGGGCAGCCCCAGCCCCAGGGTACTACCCAGGCCCCCACAGGGGCACCTCAAGGTCCTCCTGGAGCAGCCCCTGGCCCACCTCCTTCTGGACCCATCCTGAGGCCTCAGAACCCTGGGGCCAATCCCCAGCTGCGGAGCCTTCTCCTTAACCCAGCACCGGTGAGACTTGGGATTAAATCAACAAGGATTGCAGGTTCTGACCCAGTGTTTCTGGGAGGAAGTGGTAGACTGGACAAGGCTCCCAGGGCAGAGGGTCTTCCTGGAGTTTAGACTGGGTCCTCTGAGTCATTCTTTGTCTTCCTCAGCCCCAGACTGGGGTACCCCCACCCCAGGCCTCCCTACACCACCTACAGCCTCCAGGGGCCCCTACATTGTTGCCACCACATCAGAGCCTGGGGCAGCCCCAGCTGGGGCCACAACTCCTGCACCCTCCACCTGCCCAGTCTTGGCCCACGCAGCTTCCCCAGCGGGCACCACTGCCAGGTAAGGGTGCTGGGGGGGGGAGGGGCAATGGTCTAAAGTGGGAGTCCCTGAAGCCACTGGTAAGGACCCTATTACCAAAGGGCCTCCCACAGCTTAAAGGGACTTCAAGGGTCATTGGGAAGTTCAGCCATAGGAGCAAGACCTCAGTGGGTGAAAACGTCCCACGGTCATTATCTTCTGTTCTGGGGTGCTGGAAGATGTCTTAGGGTCAGTGAAGCTACCCGTGTGGGGGAAGGGCCTCCGGAAGGGTCAAAGGAAAGTATCTGCATCCAGTTGGGCTTAGAAGGACCTCTGGTGTTCCCTGAAGCTTCCTAGAAACCTTACTGCCTTGGGTTCCCAGAGGAAGTGGAATGAGAGGCCCAGGGTCCTCAATGACCCCAGGGACCACTGGGAGATGCAGTCCCTTCCCACTGCCCCCCAGGTCAGATGCTGCTGAGCGGGGGTCCCCGGGGCCCGGTCCCCCAGCCGGGCCTGCAGCCCAGCGTCATGGAGGACGACATCCTCATGGACCTCATCTGAACCCAACACCCAATAAAGTTCCTTTTAACAATGCCCGGCTCCCGTCACTGACGCCCTTAGGGCTGTCTTTGCTTTCGCCTTGCAGACTCCCCAAGGCCCCGGCTGGGTGATGCTGGGCCCTGGGATGAGTTTGAGGCAGCATGGTGTGCCTGGTTCTGGGAAACTTGGAGGCCAGTGGGTAGGTAGTGTACAGCTCATGTGCACTAAAGGGGTTACAGAGCCCAGAATGCCTCTGACCCAGCCAGGGTTCCGAGGAGCCTGGAAGGAGAAGCAGTAATTGGGAGCCAGAAGGGACCTAGGTACAGATAGCCAAAGCCACAGCAAAGGGACATGCAGGGCCAGGAGGTGGACGCTCCTGGAACATGAGCATTTCAGGAAGGAGCCAAGGCTGGAGAGTCCAGACTGGGAAACTGGAGATTTGTCCTGGGGATGCAGGACTGCAGACTGCCAGCTGGGCAGGTGTCAGGAAGGCGTGGTGGTTTGTAGGAGCAGGGCAAGCAAAAGGCAAGGTCATGGGAGTGTCTTGGTGACACATGCCACACCAGGAAATCAGGATGTCCCCATGGGACTGTGTGCTGTGTTTGAAGCCATAGCAGTCAAGGTTCACAAGGAGCAGGCCCTGGGTTCAGTGGCAGGTGTGGATAAATTGGGTAGCTTCTGTCTTGCAGGGTGCCCTCAGGCTTGTGTGCAGGTGTTTTCCCCTGGAGATGGAGTGAGGTATTTGTCACACAGGGACATGTTGCCCTGAGTGTGGTCTGTGCCTGGACCACCACTGCCTGGGTATAGGACGCAGGTTAATGTGCAGGTGACCCACCCATCCTAGGAGAGAGGCTGCAGTCTAGTGGCCCATGGGCCAGCACAGATGGGTTTTGTTTGGCCTTCCCTGTGTTAGCTGTAAAGCTCCAGTGAAGCTCACCCAGTGTAGTCCTCCTCTTGATGTGTCAGAGACTGACACTGGGCCCACCCTTCTGCCTGGCAGTAGTAGCCCCGTCAGTGGGGCTCATGCTCTTGGGTTCGCCACAGTCCCCACTACTCTCTCTTGCTCTTCCACGGTGAGGCAGGGGTCCTGCCTCAGTCACGGGGCTGGCACCATGGTGGTTCTGTGGTAGCATTCAGAGAAAAGTGAAATCTTTCTTGTACCCATGTCTCCTTCAAAAGTGGCCAAACGAAAGAGAGAAGGAGAGGGCCGCGTGTTTCGAGAAAAATGGGAGCGAGACTATTTCTTTGTGGAAGTGAAGAGCATGCCTACGTGCTTAATATGCAAAAAAAACGTGTCAGTGCTGAAAGAGTACAACCTGAAGCGTCACTATGAGTCCCAGCACAGTAAGAGCTACGATCAGTACACCGCGCAGAGCCGCGACACGCTCCTGCAGGAACTGAAAAGGGCCCTCAGAGCCAGCGAGGCGCTGGAGAGCCGGGAATAGCCATACAGTGCAGTGAAGAACTCCTGTGTTCTGAAGAACTGTCATCAAGGCTGTCCTGTGCGTCTGACAAGCTTTTGCAGGCTGAAGCGCACAGGTGTCAGAGGCCTTACAGATCCAGTTGCCTGATGCACAGCTGTGGCCTTTTGGTGGCTGCACAGAAACTCTGAGCACATGGTTAGCTTTATTTATTTGTGGTGGTGGTGATCTCCATGCAACCGAGGCAGTCTGTGAGGTGGCACCAAGCCAGCCTCTGACTTTGCAGTGACTTGCTCCTGTGCATGCAAACACAGAATTCATAAGCACAACTACAGTCCCATCAGGCTGTCCATCATGAGGGCTGTCCCATACCGCGATCCCTGTTTGCAAGGGCCCAGGTCAAGTCCTAGTCTCAGTAACCAGGAATTGAGATGCTCAAAGAAACACCATGACGCCTTGACTCTGGCATTCCTGTCCTTGAACTGAGCCAATTGCCTGAGACCAGGACATGCAGCGAGTCTGAACTGGCATGTTTGGTTCATTTCAAATCATGCAGAACCATGCCCTGGTTCTCTGGAGGTCAGTTAGAAACCTTTGGATGAAGTTCCCACCCTGTGAACATGGACTTTGTCTCAGAAGGGACATTCACGCAGCTCCTGAATGTGTGAGTGGTGTGGTCCGGCAGATGTGCTCCGTTGTGAGGAGCCGTGGGACTGCCTACCTTTGCTGCAGCTGGTTTCTGGAAATGAGAGGCGGCCAGGACCAGTCACCCACACTGTGAGACCCATGACCAAGTCCCCCGAGGGCCATATTCTACTTGAACCTGAGCTAACACTGACTAGCTCGCCCTTATGATGATGTGAACGCAGACCCTGGTCCAAGTTGCAGTGCAACAGGGTGCTTGCAATTCTGCAAGATGGTGAGGTTCCTTTGCCTCTGCCCAGCAGTGTCCTGAGTGTGTGGCTGCCCATGGTTGTGACAGTCACTGTTTTCCGTTACATACCTAAATCAAAAACTCCGTTTTAAGGATTAAGGTTGAAATTTCACCTGCCCGTCTCTCTGTCCCAGCCAGTGCCAGCACTGACATCTGGGTGTAGAAGGGCAGGTGTCAACCTTCCACTCAAAAGGCACAAGAGAATTACAAGAGAGAAATTTTAATAACTAAATATTTCTATTTTTCAATTTGTATTTTTTCAATTTTGAATTTACAGTATGAACTCTAGTGTCATACATGTTTGTGTTGTGTTCCATGCGTTCACCATAGCTCAGTAAAGATCCAATTTGATTATCTTTCTGGCCGTGGGCTTTCCTTCCCCCTGACTGATCCACCCACTTGTGTGACAGCCTGGCCCTGCTCTCTGGTTCACTTCTGCCCCTGCCCTGGGGCCTGGCTGGGAGGCCCCTCCCCTGGGTGATTCTCAGAAAGTAAAAGAGGAATAGGGTCCCAGGTGCAGCTGAAGACATGAAGGCAAGGTGGTGTTGTGGCCATGTAGACAATGTGTGCCCGTGGCTCTGAGTCGTGGGGTGCTAGGGACTGTGGCGAACCTGGAGAGTGCGTGCCCCGCCTGGTGGCCTTCAAACCAAAACCACCACACACACTGAGGACCAAACAAAATCTGCTGTGGGTCTCATGAGGCCATTAGGCCACCATTTTGCGACCTCTGGAAGAAGGAGACTCCAGAACCAAGACACAGCCTCAATGAAGACCCATATGTGAGGGGTAGGCGAGGAGGGGGGCTGGTGAAGTCCCATATGTGAGGGGTATGCGGGAAGGGGGGCTGGTGAAGACCCATATGTGAGGGGTAGGTGGGGAGGGGGTCCGGTGAAGACCCATATGTGAGGGGTAGGCGGGGAGGGGGGCTGGTGAAGCAGACAGGTTTTCTGAAGATGAATTAAGTCATCAGTAGAGGAGAGACAGCATTTTATATGTAGGCCAGGCAGAAGTTCTAGGGAAATGTAGATTTGTCCTCAAAACAAGTGAAGCATGGTTGTGGTGGGCTGGAGAAAGGGCTGGGCTGTTCAGAGTGGGTGCTGCTCTTGCAGGGGACTCCAGTCCAGTTCCCAGAGCCCATGTCATGGGCCTCACAAACACCTGTAACTTCAGTTCCAGGAGGAACAGCCTCTGGCCTCCAAGGACACCTGCACACGTGCATACACACGAAAAGAATACTTGAGGCACAGACTTGTCCTCCCAGCCGCTCCCCAGTCTGGCCTCCCAGGGTCCCCTTCCCATGTGTCAGCATTCCCTGCCCCAGAACTCTATAAAGGTTGTACCACCCCACACAGGAGAACAAGGGATTGTGGTCCCTGGCCAAAACACACTCTTCAAGCAAATGGAGGTCAGACTTCACAACACAAACCAGTTTGTTCCAGCTGGGAGCCAGCCTGGGAAGGGGACCTGGTAGAGCCTTGCAATTGCTTGATTTGTTTGGATGTGGTCTCATTCTGTATGTAGACCAGGCTGACCTTGAACTTAGACCTCTACCTACACTGCCTCCTTGACTCTCCAGCAGGACAGATGGAGTGGCACACATCCTGACGTTTGTGAGACAGAGGCCGGCAGATCTCTGAGTTTGAGGCCTGCCTGATCTACAGAGTGAGTTCCAAGACAGCCAGGGCTACACAGAGAAACCCTGACTTGAAAACAGATAAAAAAAAAAAAGAAGGCATGTTGGGTCCCTGGTGCTGTCCTAATTCCTGCATCAGGTAGATTAAGGCAAGACCAGTCTACATAGTTCCAGGCCAGCCAAGGAGACTCTGTCTCAAAAACAAAAGGAAAAAAAAAAAAGAGAGAGAGAGATTTGAGGAATGTTTGTTTTAACACACTCCAAGTCTCTAAAACATGTTTTTCTTTCATCGGAAAAGTCTTAAGTTGCATAAAGTGCCGATAAAATTCTTCTAAAAAAAAAAAAGGGTCAAAGTGACAGCCTCACCAGATAGTGGTGGAAAATGTCTTTAATCCCAGTATTCAGGAGACAAAGGCAGGCAGATTGGTGTGAGTTTGAAGCCAGCCTGGTCTGCATTAAGGGCTACAGGGGACAGTCAGGGCTACACAGAGAATGCCTGTCCTGGGGTGGGGAAGGACGACAGAAAAAACAAAACCAAAAAAGGTGATGGCTTCTTCCCCCCCTCAGTTTCTCTTACCCAAACAACCAATCAGGTCTCAGGTTAGGGGTGTAGAGCCACTGCCTGTGATCCCCCTTGAGGAGCTGAAGGCATGGTTGTGTAGTTTGAACTGTCTGTACAAGGTCTTAGCTTCCATCTCCAGGGGACCCACATCAAGATATGGGGAAGCGGGTAACATAACAACTGTCAAGTTCGTGGCTCTAGAGGTGTTTGGGAGGTATTATTTGCTAGTTACTGGTTTGTTTTGTTTTTTTGAGAAAGGAGAAACAGTTTCTCTGTGTAGCCCTAGCTTTCCTGGAACTCAATCTGTAGACTAGGCTGGCCTCAAACTCAGAGATCCACCTGTCTTTGCCTCCCGTGGTGTGATTAAAGGTGTTCCTCCACCACTTGCAATTATTTTTTTTCCTAAGGAATAGATAGATGATAGATAGATAGATAGATAGATAGACAGACAGACAGACAGACAGACAGATAGAAAAAATGTATACAAACATACATATATACATACTGATGCTGACCAGGCACCAGCTCTCCCTCCAGTGGAGCCAGGTCTAGGGCATATCTATGGAAGGCCTGCTTTGCTCTCATTCCCAGGATCTAGGGTAGGCTGTAGATGGTGACCCTTTCTCAGATTAGCAGGTGCATTTCCTCCATGACGGTGTGTGTAAGGCATGATTCAAAGACACTTGGCCCACAGGGGCTTTGGAAGGGACAGAGGCATGGCCAGAAGCAGCACTTGACTCCTGTTACTGTCAACTCAAGGTAGAAGGCCATTAAGCTGAGATTGAGGGTGGAGTCTTTTGTTTACCATTGTTTGTGCCTTTTTTGCTTGTGTGCCAAGATGCATGTGGTGGTCATAGGGCTCCAGGGGGTCCAACTCGGGTCCTCAGGCTTGGCAGCCAACGCCTTTACCAGATGGGCCATACAGCCAGACCCCTGAAGAGCCCTTTAAGAGTTTAATGAGAAGTCAGGGTTTCATGCTGAATAAAGGGAACTGTGCTGGACATAGTGATGCTGGCTTGTAATTACACTTGGGAGGATGACATCTTGTCTTAAAGGAACAAAAGAATGAGACTCATGAGGACTAGTCTTCCTAGGTCTCTGGGTTTTGATTAGAACAGCGAGGCTGGTTAGGAATCCCGAGGGCTGGAGTAGGGGGTGCTGAGGAGATCCAGGTCAGGCTTTTCTCCTCAGTGCTGCTGTTGAGGGGTGCTCACAACACAGGTTAATGACAGACCCTTGGGGTACCTCCTTAACATCTGGTGGGGTCTTTAAATCCCTATCGGTCATCTGGCCTTAGTCCAGGATGTATTCTGGGTGGAAGCTGGCCATGCCTGTCTTTCTCCTTGTTCCTCATGGCCATGGCTACACCGACAGAACGACCCACTTAATGTTTACACACAACACACATTCTCTGCGATCAGATTTACTCCTGTACAGTTTCCATGGCAAGACCCCTGTTTCTTTTGAGATAGTCTAATGTAGTTTAGACTGGCCTAGAAACTCTTTATGTAGCAGAGGATGACCTTGATCTAATCTTCCTGCCTCTATTCTCAAGCGATGGGATTAGAAGCCTGCACAAACACGTCTGATTCATGTGGTGCTCACATTAAACCAAGGGCTCCCTGCAAGCCAGTTAAGCACTCTGCCATCTGATTTCCATAACATAAGCTGGGCAGTGGTGGCCCACACCTTTAGTCCCAGCACTTGGGAGGCAGATTTCTGAGTTTGAGGCCAGCCTGGTCTACAGAGTGAGTTCCCGGACAGCCAGGGCTACACAGAGAAACCCTGTCTCAAAACAAACAAACAAACAAACAAACCCCAAACCAAAAACATAGTCTTATATTAGTGTTTTAAAAAATTCCAAAATTGTAACTACACCATCACACCCGGTTTTCCCTTGCTTTCTTTCCTTTTACTTATTTTGAATGTTTCCTTTACGTTGTGGCTGTTTTGCCCGTATGTATGTCTCTATGTGCTTGGTGCCTGTAGAGGCCAAAAGAGGGCATCTGACCCGCTGGAACTGGAATCATATATATTTGTGAAGCTGCCATGTGGGTACTGGGAATCCAACTTGGATCCTCTGGAAGAACAGTAAATGTTCTTAATTGCTGAGTCGTCTTTCCAGCACCTCCCTTTTTTGAGACAGTCTCTCAAATACATAGCCCTGGCTGTCCACAAACTTGCAAAGATTATAAAATTGGTAGTGGGTCTGGAAGGTAGTGGTACATGCTTTTAATTCTAGCACTTGGGAGGCAGGGGCAAGTGGATCTCTGTGAGTTCGAGGCCAGCCTGGTCTACAGAGCAAGTTCTAGGATAGCCAGAACTACACAGACAAACCCTGTCATAAAAAAGCAAAAACAAAAAAACAAAACAAAACAAAAAATCAAAACTGCTTGTCCTTGACAGTTCCGACGTCCTGGCTTTGTCCTTCACCCTTTATCCCGGTCACCCTCCAAAATCCTTTGGGCTCAGCTTCAAAATCAGCTGTTGCCACTGCTGCCACCAACTCCATTTGCAGCCTTGGGCTCTGCCTGGATTCGTTACTGTTGTTGCTGTTAAGACACTCTTGTGTAGCCCAGGCTGGCTTCAGTCTCACTAGGCTGCTGAGGATGACCTTGAACTCCTGACCCTTTCCCCTCACCTTTAATGCCACTACTCCTAGATTCTCCAGTCTCTATTATTATTATTATTTATTCTGAGGCAAGGCCATCCATCAGGTTTTGAGCTCACTTTGAAGTGCAAGACGACGCTGAATTATCTTTTTTTTTAAATATCAATTATAAAACGTAAGATTTAAAAAAAAAAACCAAAACAAACAACAGCTTACTGCCCAGGACACTTGCTCCAGTTGACAGGCATCATAGCTTGTGGTGTGCTGTCAGGGATATAATTTGTTCAAAGGAGTGTATGAATCAGCCAGGAAGAACACAGTAGAGTACAAATAGGTTTTCTAGTTTAAAAGAAGGCAGGAGAGAACTTCTAGTATCCAAAGGGCTTTAAATTCAAAACTCAGTACCCGATATATAGTTCGACAGCCAAGTGTAGTAGTGCCCACCCAAATAAAAGAAAGTGAAGACAGGAGGCTCAGGAGTTCCAGGTCAGCCTGGGGACATAAGCTAGTATTTGAGTAGACACAATGCCACTTATATTGAGCTCAGGTA